TATAGCAAAACTAAACTGCACAACTGGTGACATTAGTGGTCTCAAATTTATGAACGAAACATCACTTAACATACGAAGAAACTGACCTACGGAAAAGCGTTTAAACGACAGGGCTAATACTTTATAAACGACGCTGAGATGTCAAAACGAGACTCAAGGAGAAGAATGTAAAAGTAATGCTAATACTTAACTTCCCTTTTATATATAACTTCTTGGAAGTAGAACTAAGAGCATGTGATCATGGCCTGTGGACAATGATCGAATATTTCCCGTTGACCGTGCGTTATTTTATATACTCGATACGTAAAGCTAAATGTAGACCTGGTCACTTAAATGTCCACATATTAAACATGGCAATCAGTCATAGTCTTCATCTTCAAAGCCTTCATCATAATCCTAATTATCATCAACATCAGCATCAGGGAGATTTAACCCTCGGGTGATGCCTCAACTTGTGATGTCAACAGAGATCTGCTCAGGTCTTTCATCGTGAACAAAGAGTGCAGAATCCTTTGCCACTTCTTCGACATGTTCAACACAAACCCTACACAACGGTTGAAACAAGGGACTTTTAGCATCATGGACAAAGGTGACGGCAGCGAAAACGTCACTTTTAAAAATGAATTGGCGTTTTTTCCAACTTTGTCGCGTTTATTTCAATTCGCTGAAAACAGCTAATGTAGGCCAATTTCCCTGGAGTTGATCTCTTTGGGCGCACTCAAGTTTAGAAAGAGAAAGAAAAGTTTGTCGTCGCTTGTTTTACGTCCTCCATAAAACGTGAAACTAGGCATTTTCACGTCGTAGTCGTGCAGTGACGGCAAAGAAATGTACAAAAAAGCGTGATGCACGTGCAAACTAGTTGTTTTGCTCAATAAACCTATTGCTTTTTTGACGTTCTCGTTGCTGTCGCCGTCGTCGTTGCTAAAACTCGCTACTGACATTTCGCGAACGGAGAGTTTTCGCGCGTGTCTACTAGTACCAAATCTAAGTCAGATGTCTTTTTCCGACGTTTCTTAGTTTTTGCACGCGAGTATTTCAGAATTACTTAAACCTGCTGCAGATGAAACTCGCATTTAGTTTGATGAATAGTCTTTGTGTGTTTCAAAGGTGTGCTCTTTTGGTTTAATTTAACCCGAAAGTAGCCGGGGGCCATGCTCTGAGTAGCCGGGGGAAATCCCCGGCCCCCGGCCCTTAGTGACAACCCTGACTGAAAATTTCCCTATCCATCATTAACACTACACAAAAACTTAAACTTTTTTTCATCATAAAAAAGGTCAGTATTTCAAAGATAATACATTTCTAGGTTTTATTAAGCCTTATGGAAGACAAGTTTTTCCTAATGCAATTGCTTCAAGAAACAAGAGTCGCACTCGGCTATCGCGCGCCTCGTGCGACTCTTTCGCTTTTTTCGTGCTTAGCAACCTCCCGCAATACCTACAGGATTTTCAAGAGAGGGTTTACTCTCTTGGGATTAAGTAATCCTTTACATTTATATTTACTCTGATAAAAGTTATATTTTAAAAAAATAGGCATCGAGAGGCCTCCTACACAAGGCCGCAATCAATGGACAATACGAGACGGTCAAAATGCTTCTTGAAAGTGGTGAAGATGTGGATCAAAGTGATCAGGTTTTTGTCTTGCCCGGTCTTTGTAAATCTAATGCTCGTGGGTTCTTATGCACTCGTTTCTTGCTTTTGTAGATTACGAGCAAGCGCTTGTGTTTGGGTTTGCGCCATCTTTCCGGCTGGCGGCGATTAGAAGCTATAGCCTGCACGAACGCCTTTGAGTATAATTGTATTCCTTGCGTTCATGAACGAACACAGCATTCTGATTGGCCGGTAGTGACAAATCGTTGACAACAGGACAGGAAAACCACAAAATTCTGTTTTTAGCGCATTTTCTTTAAAACAGACTCTTAACGTCTTTACTTTTTATAATCCTGTACTTGCTGATAGTTTCAGCACGTACTCGGATTAGCTTTCATTTTCTGGGTCTTTTTAAAAATAGGCACGAAAAAGTTCTCTGTAAGACTTTAGGCAATTTTCTTCCAAAGTACTCCATCAAACAACTGTTTACCCCTAAAATGCAGTATTTAAGGCCATGTTCTTTACCCGAGTGTTTTGCTTTCAATGTCTGATGGTGTTTCCTATTAAATTCATGGGTGAAGAGCAAAATATTAAAGTTTTTAAGGTTGTAACTGGGTGAACCCATGAATCTTGTCATTAGTATGTCGAGTAAGTGTAGCTCTGAATAGAACTGCTGACCACACTGACTTTTTAATAACCTGTGCAGAAGTCTACATAAGAGTCAAGGGAAATTCTGATAATCGCTTCGATACAGGGTGTAGAAAACGTCAACTTCTGTCACCAACAGACCTATATTCGGTACTTCACTCACCCAGACGATCCATATACGAGTCTGTAACGATGAAAAGTTAAGGGGACTTTGAACTTGGGGGGAAGTGACCCGCCGTGAAAAGGAAAAGGTAAAAGTCCTTATTTTACGTCGGTAGCTCAAAATAGACATCTGACCAACTAACCTGAGGCCGACGGCGCGCTCATTTACTCCGCCCCCCTCCCCTCCCCCCAGCATAGCGAAGTTCTGAACGTAAACAGATAGCCTTGTTCCACCAATTCCTAATGGAAAGTGGCCTGTAAACGTTGCATTTGGGCTCAGTTATAATGTTGCACTAGGCCCCCTCCTTGTAAAATGAAGAAAATGAATTAGTCCAGTGACAGCCTCTAGATTTATTTTATGAAAGACCATCATTATTGCTGGACAAACTGCCTGCTCTCACCCTTTTCTAATTGCTTTTTTTCTTCCTATTTCTTTAGTTTTCTTTGACTCCTCTTCATCTTGCCTGTTGGTATGGACAGGAATCTATTGTCATACTGTTGTTAGAACATGGTGCAAACGTCAAAGCCGAAGACGGTGAGATAGTGAACGTTTTTTTTTTACATTAAACAAAATAGTGCCGAGAGAGGAATGCGGCAAGGGAAGTTGTTGTTGAAGGTGAATCTCTTACGGTGGCAAGATGAATTAAACTTAACGGCTGCGTTGATATAACTGCTATTTTTATCTTTGTGTCCTTACCGTGTTACATTTACTTTCAATAGTACGTTCCTAATTTGTTAGTTTTTTTGTTGTGCTTCTACACTAGTTGTTTTTATTTGTTATTCATGAGAAAATTGGGCTATAATAAATCATTTAACTAAAAAATTGAAAAAACCTTAGAAGGCAGAAAGTCTAGTTTCGCAAACTTTTAACTGTGACCGTAAGATTTCCTCTGCTGAATTGAAGGTTTCGTTGGGCAGGCAAAGGAAATTGCTCTTATTCGCTCTGGGGACCGGCCTAAACAAGACGCAGTGTAATCGTGAAGACGGGGCTTGCATGAATTGGATTTCACCTGTAACTGTTACTCCGGCCGTTACCATGTGAGGGAAATCTGAGGGAAACTAGACTTTTCTCTAATTTACAACCACACCGTGGACTAGTCGTCCCCGAACAGTGTAAGAGTGCTTTAACGTCCCGCAGAATTTACCATATGTGCAAGAATAGTGAGACGGAGCTTACGGTTTATCGTCCTTATCCGAGGAGACTATGGCACAGCATATTTCAAATATTTCTTCCTATAATTTCAGTAAACGAAGGTCCCTTAAGTGTCCGCTAAATGAAGGTTTCCTTTTGTTTAGGATAATGAACAGTTCTTTATTGCAATACCTTATGTAGACATACCGCTAGTTAGAATATTTCTTCTTGGTAAATAACAAGTGATAAGTAACACGAATTACAGTACGTACTCTGCTTGTTGTGTTTTTAGTTTCAACGTACACCGCTGCAAAAAGCTGAACGTCAAGAACACCATTCCATAGTGCAGTTGCTGTTGAAGAATGATCCTACGCCAAGTCTTCTTCAACCAGTAAGACATCAAACTGCATGTCCCCTAATCCTTCTTTCAGATGAAATTCGCTAACATTTGTTATATTGTTTGTTGATAATGTTGAACGTTACAGTGGGACCTATACATTGTCGTATGAGCTTTTATCCTAGCTTATATCGCGAAGTCCTTATATTGGTTCTTCTCTACACAAACAATTTCCTCATTCCCTCGGTTAGGACCATCCGAAGATCACAGTACAGTGGATCCTGTATTAAACGGACACCATATTAAGCGGATGAGTGGCTCAATTTTTCCCTCAAACGTTTCGTCCCATATTTACTGTGAGCTTGCTGTAAAACGAATCCATTAATATGGGGACCCAGTAGTTTCATTCAAATAGCTCCTCATTAATAGCCACCATCTTAATTCTGTTCTCCAAAATCACCTGAAACATTTGTTCACAATGATTTGTTCAACATTGTTTAGAAGGGTAGAAGGAGGAATCCAGAAAGTCTTGTTTTCAAAACCTTTCCCCATCTGTCAGCTAAAAATTCTAACATCAATTTTGTCGCCAGTTGGAGCTATTTTCAATTTTCATACTTTCAGTCTTAAATTAGCATCATTACTGTCAAACTCGGAAAAGCTAGAGAATTAGGAATATTTTGGAAATGTTCAGTGTCTTATGATCAATCCCATTAAGGATTAATTAGCGAGCTTCAAACAACAAAATAATTACAGTTGCTGCATGCTGCTTACTTCTCCCTCACTTCGTTGGCTTCTTTCCCCTTGACACAATAACATTCCAGAAATAATTTTGGTGTTGATAGTTTTCCAGGAAGAACAAGAACATTTTAAAACGCGAGTTTCTATATAAATGTTAGCGCGTTTGCCGTTTCTGAATTAGTGATAATTTTAAACAAAATGTATATTGTAACCATAGTAGCCAACCACCACATTTTGTGTAAAATGTGTCCATTTGCATTAAGAGTATAGTAAAGCCCAGTTAATCTATTATCTGCAATAAGAATAATGGGAAGGTAGTGCTAAATGAATTCCCTCTTTTTAATTTGTACTCAAAAACATGATCATTCTTGTCATAGGTAAGTCTAAAGAAACTTTCAAGAAAAGTTTCTTGCAAGTGGATAAACAATCTGGATTTAATCTGCTCCAGGCGGCTGTCTTAGAGGGAAAATACGACATTGTTCTAAAAGCTAATGGCCTTCTTGAGAATTTTTTAGAAGAGATGGAACATAGAAAAACGGGAAATAACGCCGAAGGATTTCCGGGGAAAACTGCGGTTGACATCTTATCATTTGTGTTGGGAACAAAATCAAGCCATTATAGTATCGAAAGATTTTATAAAAATTTGGCTGAGAACAACAGCAGACTGAATGAGCTTCAGTGGGGTACATGCAATGACGATGTGGAACAGGCGGTGGAGTTTGAATTAAGTGACGGTGCAGATATTACTCATATTAATGCCCGAGCGTCAGACAATGATTACACAGCTTTGTTGTGGGCGCTTGTTCATCCTCGAGTCAGTTCATTGAGACCCTCAGTGATCTAGGGGCCAACGTTAATGCCCAAAGGAAAGATGACAAAGTTACACCTTTAATATTAGCAATTGAATGGAACAACTACATGGCAGCGTGCTTGCCTTTAAGGCATGGAGCTGATGTAGATGTCCAGGGTGGTGATGGGTTCACACCACTGCACTTTGCAGTCAGTAAAGGTCACGAAAACCTCTGTAGATTGTTACTTGAACACAACGCGAATGTAAATATTCGAGATAAAGATGGAGATATTCCATTGCTTCTGTGTGTCAGAGAGGGTAACGAAAACCTCTGTAGATTGTTACTTGAACACAACGCGAATGTAAATTTTCGAGATAAAGATGGAAATACACCCTTGCACCTGTGTGTCAGAGAGCGTAACGAAAACCTCTGTGGATTGTTACTTGAACACAACGCGAAAGTAAATTTTGGAAATAAACATGGAGATACACCCTTGCACTGGTGTGTCAGAGAGGGTAACGAAAACCTCTGTAGATTGTTACTTGAACACAACACGAATGCAAATTTTCGAGATAAAGATGGAGATACACCCTTGCACCTGTGTGTCAGAGAGGGTAACGAAAACCTCTGTAGATTGTTACTTGAACACAACACGAATGCAAATTTTCGAGATAAAGATGGAGATACACCCTTGCACCTGTGTGTCAGAGAGGGTAACGAAAACCTCTCTAGATTGTTGCTTGAACACAACGCGATGCAGCGACATCCTAAGTTTGAACTGAGTTCTGCGCAAAAAGCTATCGAAAAAAAATATACAACAGGTGTCGCTTCCGTTCAAGGTGCAGTAAAACTCAAGTCTAATCTCCAAAGGGAGAAAACACTGGGGCGAAACCCCTCGTATACGCATACAACATTGGAAACAGAGGAACTGTGGGAAACCCCCAAAGGAACAAAGGAATTAGAGAACCGGAAGCTAAACAAGTGAAGACACTGGCAGTGAGACACCCCAAATCAAAGGCGACTACATCCTCAAGAACAAATAAATGAGTAATGGCTTAACTATTAAGATTTTTTTCAGAGTTGTGTTTTTGAGAAAAGGCCCGGGTATTAAGTCCATAAAAGATAATAGTTTACTCTTATTGAGCTAACGTTAAATTAGTTTGTACAAAATTAATACCAAAAATGAGGAGAGTAGCTATAATCCTCAACGTTAATTTCAAAATTGTAAAATCGACGCTGTTACAAGTGCCGTTTAGCCGACGTTTTGGCAATGCTGCCTTCCTCAGGGTACAAAAGTTCGTAATAGGTGCGTGAGCTACGTAATTCAACGAACTTTTTAACGGGAAACTATTTAATGGTGTTTATTCGTTTTGTACCCCGAAGAAGGCAGCATTGCGGAAACGTCGGTTAAAACTCTTGTAACAGAGGACGTGCTTTGAATTTCAAATGTGTAGTGTAGATCGGTTTTAAGAAAAGTCAACTCTCTTTATATGTCGGACACTATAGGGAACTCTGCTTAGTCACGGTCGGCCTTATTAGTGAGAATCTGTAATAACGGGAGTTTATTTTAGTCCGATATTTGTAATTTATTTTTGCATGGGATTTAGTTGCTCTCCGTATTATCGGGGTGTCTGTTATTGCAGGAGTCCAAAAGGCTAGAGTTGACTTATAAGAATTTTTGAAAGTAATTATCATGAAATTTTAAAATTATAACATAGCTGGAATATTCGCCTAACTGATTAAATTGTTATTCGATAGCTTCAGTGTGCTTCATATTCCAGTTGAGCACGCTGGTAACGTCAACAAACTGCTGCTTCGAGTTCTTATGGGCTTAGTAATCTTCCCAAGTGCATCCATGACTCAACAGTACACGATGAAGCGTTTAAGATCTTGTCTTAGATGTCTCAAATGATCGCGTCATTGAGAGGTGACACGAAGCCGTTAGCCTTGTCTCCTTCATCCTTTCATATCAATTGGAAGGGACAACGTAAAAGAACCCACATTGATATCCGAAAAGAGTAGAAAAATCAGACCCCACCGGTGGTCTGCCTGTGTGCAGACCCCCCTCCCCCCAGGAAAAATCGGATTTATAGTGCTCCAAGAGGAAAGCAAATTCGTAACCCACCGATTACTCCACCTCCACGTAGTCTGACATCTAAGGCGCTTTTTCCAAAAAGTTTTATTTGCGAGGATTTTATGTACAGCTATTAAAGTTGACACAGAGAAACGATGCACGAAATAATAAGTTAACCGAACAAAAACAAAGCCGTTTTTGTTTTTTTAAAAACACTAAGAACTTTTGGAGTAGGCTTTTCCGAAGTTTAACTCTCAACAGTGAAGCAGCAACCCTAGTTTTTCAGTTACTTTGCTTAGTGTTTTCAAATCTCACTTAAAATCGTTTGACCGCCGGGAAATCAGCCTCCCCTTCCCTCTTCACAACGCTGCAGCTGTAGCTAAAGTTCAAAGCTGAAAGTCTTCGTTCGTGGCAGGCGAAGTCGAGTATCCATGTTATAGTTCAATTTTATCCTTGGTTTAAATTTCATTTTCCTTTGTTCTAAACTCATTATCGTACATTACCATGCATCAAAACAAAGGAAAATAAAATCTAAACCAAAATTGAACCACAACATCCACACTTTATCATCTATTGGCACTCAAGGGACTTCCGAGGATATTTAGAATAGATGAATAAAGTAATTAGAATCAAATTAAAATTCAACTTTGGTGCTCCGTCGGTGGTGGGGATTTGCTTTCATCAACTGAGTAGATAAATTCAATATCACCGTAAGGAGATTTTAAAGCTAACAGTTGGAGCCCAGTTTATCAAAGCAAAAGAATTATGGGCTGTGCGTGGTACAACAAGAACAGTAGACCTTATTCACGATACCCGCCATCTTTGCACGCGCTCTAAGATCGATGGGATAAAAGCTATGTCACGTGGTATTTCAGGGGGCAAGCAAGTGATAAAATTTGCCAATACGAGTAATCGCGGTCGAGTTTGTTTATTCTATCAAAAGAGACGACGATTTCATAGTTATCCAAAGTGTTGGCAAGATTTAAGTCATTACTGTTTGCCATGAGGACATTTACGGTCGCTACTGCATATTGTAAAGTAACAATGATCACTTCCACCCATATTTTGACATTATCGTCTTTAAGATGAAAAGGTCTTTATTTCCTGTTGTCTAGGATAAACAAACTCAACCGCGATTTCTTCCATTGGCAGCGTTTTTCATTTGTCTGCTCCCTAGAAAACCATGTGATGTCGCTTTTATCCCATCAGTCCTTAAGCGTGGCAAAGATGGCGGGTATCGTATATTTAGCTGAATGAAAAGTGGTCATTTACTCCATAGAAACTAAGATTAATGATTTTAAAAAGGTGAATTATTGTTCTTAAATTATGCAACTTCTCATGGCCGAGGGGGTACTCCTTACGATGGGCTGTACGGGGAGGCTCCCAAGAAAGGGTTATCTTTTTCAGGCTTCAGGTATATAAAGGGTAGGGAAATCTGTCATTTGGGTCTGTAAAAGGGCCCAAAAAAGCTATGACTTGAGAACGTCGGGAAACCTTCTATTTTGTAATTGATTCCTTTTTAAAAGGTAGTGCATTTACAGCGGTTAAAAGGAAGGGGTACCTTTTTCGTTAAAAATGGTATATAAATGGTAAGGGGTTGGTCCTCGGGGCGGAGCCTCCCCGTATAAACATTTCTTGAGTAACCCCCCCCCCGGGTTTTCGTGTTGCACTGTTTTGCGAGGTATAGAGGCTCTTTAGCTTGTATGTTTTGTATTCCCGCACACAGAGGTCCCACGGGAACTTGTCTTTTTGTGCGTGCATATGCACGTGAACAAGACGAAATTTGAAAGAAACCTTTCAGTATTCAGTCACATGACCTGTATTGGGAAAACAAAACATACAAGCTAAAGAGGTTTGTTAGAGAGGTTAAGCATCATGTGACGTCTAACGTCAAACGCAAATTTGTACCACGTGATCAAGTTTCCCCTTTGCAGTACACTTGTCGTTTACTGTTCATTATTTCAACACACAAATAAGTAGTTTCAAGCAATGTTTTATCCATAATAATTGTTTGAGCTCTTGTTATTTTTCTCATTTTCTATTTTGAGAAATTCTCAATTTGAACCTGACGTTTGCCGTTTGCCGTATACGTAAAGCTTAGAAACTCTCTAATTGCTTAGAAGAAAAACGAAGCAGTCTACTTAAACACTTCATTGCGACAGATATTTTTAATACGAGGTATATTTTTAATAAAATTGTCTCAACTGATATCATGCTATTATCGTCAAGCTAGTTCGACAAGCTAGACTCATCATAAAGGAAGATTTTTTTTTTTAATTCTTGTAGAAATATTAGGATACAATGAGGATCCCGAGACACGCCAGGATGCAACGGAACTTGAATAGGGTTACATTCCTTCCCAAGAAATGAAAGAGAAGAACTTTGCAAGGGCGACGAGTTTTGCAAGAGTTTGGTTTTTAGACTTAGATGAAGTTTGATATACTCATTGTTTAAAACGTTAGCACAACTGCAAACTTCTTGAATGGTAGAACAATTTTTTTATGCGTTTCGTGTGACTATTAACGCACGCGCACCGCATCGCATCAAGTTTTACAGCACACAACTCAGTGTGCTTTTTTATGGTTAGACCAGGAGCCCTGAAGACGGATTTATTGAACTTTAGGTGAATTTTTCAGACAGAATTTGTAGGGGTGGGTGTTTTAAAAACTCATCTGCTCCCCAGGAAAGGGAAGGGAAAGGGGGGAGAGAATCTGAAGACAAACATTTGAGGCCGTTATTCCGCCCTCTTTTAATTATCTTGCCGATCATCTGTCAGTAAGGTCGTTATTTGTCAATCAATTTCGCGCGTGAGTAACTCCTGGAAAAAAATTAACGGTGTTTTGCTCTAGCCTGAGTATCAGGCGTTTCTGGGAGAAAAGGGGAAAGATGGAAGCGAAAAAGGGAGAGAGCTTCTCCCCCTTCCCCCCTCCCCCGTCTAAAATCTCCTCTCCCCTAGCCCCTTAGGAAGGCCTGATACTCAGCCTAGTTTTGCTCCGTCTGAAAACAGAGTGAAATGGAGCGCGAGCCTCATTGTCGATTTTGCAAAAAGTTGTTGATCCCCGGTGAGAGAATTAATACGGCGCCGGTCTTCGGCGTTTTGAGAAATCAGACCTTGCTGGTTGACAGTGGTCACGACAGCGTTGAGATTTCCACTTGAACAAGGAGAAAGCTTTTCCGATTTAAGCTGCTTAACTTATGCCCGACAGCCCGTTCGTCTTGCTACTTCAATTTCTAATTTAACAAGCCCCTGCATTGAGCGAACTTAGAATGCGAAAGGTNATTTAACAAGCCCCTGCATTGAGCGAACTTAGAATGCGAAAGGTACAGATACTACCATGACTTCTCCAGAACGTGAAGCTCCGAAGACAAGTACAAAGAGATCAACAGCGCTTCGATCGCCGACAGGAATTTTCGCTTTCCCTCTCCCCAGTTCCCCGCTCCCCAAAGGCCTGTTCACAGGTTCAGGGCGACCGCCCTGAAGTTCACAGGCTCCCCAGGACATCCGTCGGGGCATTTCATTTAGCATACATAGAGAAGATTCCTGATGCTAAATAATGGCGGTGTCGGTCTGATTCACGCATTCGAGCGGTGTCGATTCCATGAGTCAGATTAAAGGAGATATTACTGGAAGAACATCGAAAGAAAGATACGAACAGCTGATCTTGGAGCTTTAGCAGGGTAAGAATCGCCTTTTTGTTCCTTAAGGTACCCTCTCACTGATAAATCTGCAGGAAATTTTGTTGATTTGTTGTTATGAGATCAGGTCCTTGGCCTTCTGTTTTCATTTGATGCTGTGTTAACTTGTAAAGAAGTCCAAGAAAAATTATTTCCACTTAAAATGTTTGTGAACTGCTCTTTATAGTAACTGCATATATAACATTAAGCAGCATTAACCGAGATGAATTAGTGTA